TTGACCTCGCTGATCATTCGGTATCTAGCTGTCTGCAGAGGAGCTTTTTGCAGTCTGGTCCTCTTCTATTAGCTTTATTCTGGAGGAGGAAATAAAGCTATTTATAAACCTTGTTTGTCTTCACTCAGTCAGATTTAAAAAATTGGGGCTTGTCCAGGATTTTAGCTTCCGGACCTCTTGCACCAAATACAGGCATCCATAAGTGGTAAACATGGATGTTTTCTTTCCAAGGTTCCATCTTCAGAGTTAAATACGATGCAACAGTAGAGTTTTCATATTCGGCACCGTTATTTGTGAAAGGCAGATTGGATCTCTTTTAAACATGAAGAAGGACTGCTGGGCCAATGAGACAATTTGTTTTTATTTTTTGCGGAGTGCTAATCACACTGATGGCGGAGTCTGAACCATCTTAAACTCACCTTTCCTCCATTCCAGTAACCAAAACCAACAGCATGCGTACTAATGGGTCCTGGTCCTGATACCCTAAGTACATCCCACGCCCCTCTATTAAGTATGCGCTAAAGTTCAGCTTATGGTTAGAGTGCAAACCTTACAAGCTAGAAAATTGTGACAGTACGGTTTACATCATTGACTCATCACTGCAGAATCAGAACAAACGACTAACTACGGAGGAACTTTTTTTGATCATTTAATGTATCTGAAGTTGATTGATCTCATTAAGCGACTGATCATTGATGGATAAACGGCCACTTTAAAAAAAAATTTATTTTCTCTTCAATCAAGAGAATCTTTCCATACCATAAAGAATAAATATTATTTTACAATTAGCTGAATTTGCAAAATTTATTTCAATTTAATAAAAAAATGCTTTATTGATCCCAAAGGGAAATTAAATGTTGCAGTAACTCATACGTTATTTTTTAACCAGGTGTTGATAGCTGTAGGCAGGAATGATCTTCTGTAGCGTACGGATCTGGACAAGCCTCTGAAAAAGTGCATCATTTTAATTTAACATTTTATTGTGCCTGCCGTATTAAATACTGACTACATAAAAACAACATAAAACACTGGAACCTATTAGGTTACTGAATAAACTGATTTATTACTGATTTCCAATGAACAGAGATGTAGATCTATTATTACAGACAGGGTATGTCGCTCTGACATGCTGTCAAACTATTCGTCTTCGTTTCAGTGAAGCTGGACGCTAGCTGTGAGCTAGCTCTCTGTTTTTATTCTGATCCACCAATCAGAGCTGAGAGAGACTTTGTGCTGCTAGCAGAGCTCTTAAACATGTGGTTCTAGTTCCTCTTAACAGATAAAACTAAGAGGAACCATAAAGGTCATTAACTCACTAAAGCCTCTTTCCCACTGAAAATAACAGATTAAAGCATGTTTTTCAAAAATGGGTCGACCCGCTACCAATCCGCATTTGGCTCCCTTCCTATTGTTAAAAAAAGTTGATCTAACCCCTCACTGGCAGCTGCGTGGCCTCTGTCCCCCTGCAGCTGCGTGTCTGGTGACATTATCATTGATGATGTCATCAGTGTTACAGAAATCAGGGTTGTAAACAATTGAGAGCAACATATAATGAAGCCAGGGCGTATTCAGTGTACTTTATTGTTTCTCTCTATTATCTGTCTGAATCCCTCTAACCAGAGCTGCTCCATGTTTATCGAATGGAATCAGATTTGTTCTGCTTGTTAGAACGGAAGCTACTGGGGCGGTGTGTTGACGTTCCTACGTTACATTGAATGGTGTCACGTAAATTAGCGGATCAAACCGGTTCTGGTGTTCCCACAGCATGCCGATCAGAGCCAAAGCGATTTTAACACGGGTCGCTTGTCGAGTCGTTTGACCCGGGTAGACATGCATCAGTGAGCTGTTCCCACTGCCACTCCCACTGCCCGGGCTTACACAGGTTTTTTTGGCCAGTGGGAAAGGGGTATAAGTCTTTTCCATCTGCAGCAATGTTTTTGTATTACACATCAGTGAAAATCCTTTTGACTTTACTCTGTAAAGTCAAAATGCTTTTGATATTAACACTTAAACACATTTCTTTCAGCACCAGCAAAGGAGCTTGATTACTAAATATTGCCATATTTTTGCCCTTTTGCTTAAAGCGTCACATGCAGCAATGCCTCGTGGGTAATACACTCCAGTAAAGTCTGCTTACATGTGCATTATGCCAAAGTGTTGATATCGAGGGAACGAAGAGGATGAGGGCAGTGAGGGGAATTGGGACATACTACGCTCTCAAACCCATCCAAATGAAGAACAGATTAGTTTTTTTCTCTGCAGTTAGTTTCTATACTTCAGTGTTTATAACTCTGATCTTTAAGGCAGGTTTTAGATGTTTCCTTGATTCAGATGTTTGCCATTCAGCAGAACCATGCATCAGTTATTCTGAAGCAGGAAACTATTTAAAGCATGCAGGGGGGTGCTGCGCTTAGCTGCATAAACACAGCTTCATTTTACCGTTATGTGACAGCAACCTCAGATGTGTCTGAGCAGAGCCAATTAGAAATGTATATACATTAAAAAAGTTAGCGGAAGTGCTTTTTAGTTTTTCTTTTTTAAGTTTTAGTGTCAGAAACAGGACAGATTGACGATTCAATTCAAGGCGAGCCAGACAGTGGGATCATTCAAAGGTGTTGTTTTTTTAATACATAAGATCGGGCTTATCTGCAGCAGCTGCAGCTGGGTGCCACCCATCACTGGAAACTGGTTTATCAGTTCAGTCCTTCTCCATAGAACAAGGTAAGAAGCAGCCGGTGGACTGGCAATGAGATGTGGCGGATGCCGCCCAGACTGACCCTAGATGCTGCAGCCCGACAGAACATGCAGGAGCCAGGTCAGAAATCAGAAGAGGAAGGCTCAGATGTCCAGGAGTCCAAACCCCGGTCAGGGATACCAATGAGAACAGGAACAAGCTGGTTCAGGGTTCCAGGAGTCCTCAGAGAGTTCAGGCAGAACGTTCAGATGGGAACAGGCAAGCTCAGTGGATAAGAGGCAGATTAGGATCAGGAAATCTGGAACGCTACGAAACACCAAAAACCCCTCTCACCACTGGGCCCCAAGAATGAGAACTAGAACATAAGCAAAAACAATGATCTCACATCAATAATCTGGCCCCGATAGCTGGGACTGAGCCGTATATAAAGAAGCTGCAGCAGGTGGATTAGATAATTGGAAACTAGGCAGACTTAGGCAGGTGAATGAAATGAGCTATTAGGTCATCCATCAGAGCCATGATCCCAACATTTAGACATGGGCGTAGGTTTGCATAGGGACCATAGGGACATGTCCCTACCAAAATTTTGGACGGACCTATTTGTCCCTACCAATAATTGGATGTGAACAACATATAATTTACTATACAGCAGCCGCTTCTTTTCCTCTCGCAGCTTCTCTGCCTGGTAGCTGCAGCTGCCTGCTCTTTCCTGTCCCTTTCACATAGCAGCGCATCAACTGTGCTGCGCGGTTTAACTCTCTGATTATTCTGCCTTAAGTTCCGCCTTCTCTCTTTCTGATCGCGTGTTTTCTAGTCTGTATGTGCGCGCGTGCGGGTGCTTGGAGCGTGAAAAAAAGACGCTAAAATAAATTAATATTGGGCTGCGAAACTGGTCCAAATTAAAAAACTTATTATCTACGCTAAAACAGGTGAAAGCGTCTGACTGGAGTTCTGTAAAGAAGCAGGAGAGAGTTTTATTGATTTGTGGAAATTGAGGAATGTAAGTTAACAACGTTAGGATTTCTTTTATTTATTTTATCTTTTAATCAGATAGCCAAAGGCTCCTTAAAGATCTTTTATGAAATGAAACCAGGTGAAACAGAAACGTTTAAACGTTTCCTTTGGAGGAGTTCTGGATGGAGAATATTGACAGACAACTTTTTTTTTTTACTTCTTAATTGCAAAATGTTTACATATTTTTTACAATCTTGGTATAATTCCTGCTCTAAGTGGGTCGCTCTGTCGGCTAAAGGCACATTTTAGTGGCCCTATACTCCAGTTAATGATTAATCAATTACTAAATTAGTTCACGATTATTTAAATAATTTGTTAATATGATTAATTGTTTCAGCCATAGATAAAATACATGAAATTAGCTACACAGAGTAACTACAGCCCAGATGTACAACTTCTAATATTAATATTTTAAATGCTCAGTGACAGTTCCTCTTCTAGTTCCAGTGCACATGTAAATACAATACATTTATTTACCGTCCCTTGAATGTATTATTTTCCATGATCCAGAGAGAGCATATTAGATAAAAAAAAAAAAAATGAGAGTGGGGTTTACCTCTGTTAACCTCTGCACAATTCTATATCTTCAGAAGAAAACACAGGATAAATCCACATATTATAGACTATATTTGGTTAAACAGACACTGTCTTAGTCGCAGGTAAATTTAAATGCAATCCTTTTCAAAGTGGAAAAAGTCCTAATTCCACATTCAGAGCCAGTGATGCTTTAAATATTGATAAACAGCATCTAGTGAGTGTAGTGCTTATAAGATTTGTATTAATGTAGCAAGAAATGCTGCTGTTCTCTTTAAACAAAATGAGCCCTGAAGCTCACATTAAGCATAAAAAAGAGCAAGCATATTTTTTGCAAAGGACCAATGAAACTGAAGAATAGTGTCCCTACCAAAGTTGAAATCAAACCTACGCCCTTGCATTTAGACCCTAACTTACTATTAGATACAAGCAATGTTTGCATGATGATTTAACGTGGCATCCAACCGCTCATCATATTTATCACTAACATCTATGAAAATAACCAAGAATGGAAATATGAGCTGTTTAAAGGTTAATATAGAATTAAAAAAAAAATCCTCTTTGGTTTCGCTCCTGTAGTTAACTTCAGCCACCAGCAGTTAGCTTCAGCTTCTGGGACCAAATGCTTCGGTGCTGAAATGCATCTGTAGCAGAAACTAGAGCTGGAGTTTAATCGAACCTGACTTCAGAAATCCTGGAATATCTCATAATGATTTCCTTCAGAGTAAAGAGTAATTAAACTGATCTTTTTTTACAGAAGGTGCTGAAGCTGTTCAAGACTTCTCCGCCTGAAGTGAGGCTGACTCTCTGTCGGCCGCCGCCAGGTACAAACATTAAAAAAGAAAAAAAAAACTAATGAATGTATTTTTTTTTGGGGGGGGGGGTCCATTGTTGTTGCAGCAAAACAAAACAGTTTATTTTGAAAAAAAAAATAGCAATGGTTTGACATTAACTTAGTTCTTTTTTGATTTTATAAAATATTTTCTTTTCATATATTATAATTCAAACTTAACCTTTTTAACTTCTCTTTTTTTACAGGTTTCATATATATTTTTGTTTAGATTGAGTTCTGGAAATTGCAATCTTTTGAAATTGTGTCTAACCAATAGAAATGCATATTCGCTCCTCACCCAAGGAAGAGAAATGAATGTGATGCATTAAACACAGTTTAAAAAAACTCAATCTGAAAAACAAAAAAATAAAAAAAAGGAAATGATTTAAAAAAAAATAGTTTATTAATATGAAATTTGTTTTAAAGAGATAAAAATAAATCTACTCTTAAAAATCCTTTTTGATTAAAATAATATTTTTATTTTTCAAATTTCCATTAACCAAACATGTTCTTTGTTTTGATCAATAATGGAACAAAATTCCAGATCAAATTCCAAACGCTTCTGTTTGTGCAGGAATTCTCCCATCCTTGGATCATTTCAGCATCACCTGAGCGTCGCTTAGGAAGCATTTATGAAGCAACGTTCTCATAAAACAGGAGGTGATGATGGATGCTGACGGCCTGGAGAAGCTGCAACGAGTTCAGGTGGTTTGGTGCAGATGGTGACGCCAGCATTGTTGTGGGTCGAGGTAGGAAGATCGTGCAAAACACTGTAGAATTTGATCCTTGGTAATGAAATGGGCCCCAACTTTTCTAAAAATATCCTGTTCTTTAACCTGTTTAGTTTGCAGAGTTATGATAGCGACAGGACTCTGTGTCTTTGTTCCTGTTGTGCTCCTGGTGGTACAGCAGACACCAGCTGGAACCTCAGGGAGCGTCTGAGAAATGACCCGATTCCAGGTTAGTATTGATCCTTCAGCCGCAGTTCAGCATAACCTCCTTTCCAATGATAATAAACATATTCAACCCTCTGATTCAGACCAGTAGCTCACATACACTGAGTCATTGTTTGCAGAGTTGGGTAGAAACTAGGTACATTTATTCAGTTAAATTAACTTTAGCAATTCTGGTGCTGGTGCCTATCTCCTGCTGTCTACGGGCAAGACGCTGGACAGGTCTTCAGTCCTTCACAGGGCAGTACAGAGACAAACAGGACAAACAACCATTCACACACACACTCACACCTTAGGAGAATTTAGAGAAGCCAATTAACCTAACTTAACCTAGCCTAGCCAATTAATTAACCTTTTCGGCTGGAGTACCCAGAGAGAACCCACACATGCTTAGGGAGAACATGCAAACCCCATACAGAAAGATCCCGGGCCGAGAATCAAACCCAGAACTTTCTTGCTGAAAGGCAGCAGTGCTACCCACTGCTCCATTGATCAGATAAAATATATGATAAAAAACAAAACAGAGAAAAAAACTTTTTTGTATTTTATTTTTTTATATTTTTCAAATATTTTTTTTATTTTAGACATATTAAAGATATTACTAATATCTATCTATCTATCTATCTATCTATCTATCTATCTATCTATCTATCTATCTATCTATCTATCTATCTATCTATCATATTTTTATTATATATTATTATATTTTATTTTATATTATTATCTTTTATTATATATCATCTCATTTTTTGACTTAACATCAATTTTTACATTTTGAATCGATTATGATTAGATCTGTTCATGGGTGTCTGAGTAGCTGTTTTACCTTTTAAACTTACATGATTCTTTTTTTTTAGACGGCTGCTTTTCACTTCAGTCAATAAGATGAATTTGTTTTTCTACTGGAGTGCAGTTTCTGCTCTCATCAAGGGGAAAACGTTCAGGATGGCCTGTTGTCTCTCACCACTAGATGGCGGCATTTACCAAAGAATAAGTGATTTCAAACAAGGATTTGTTTTTTATGCATTCATTTCATTTTTAGGTAACTTCGTGGCTTTAGAGGAGGAAGAAGAAGAGATCCACCAAGAGATGTTTTCAACAAGAGAAGAAGAAAAATGAAAATCATGCTTTTTAGAAAATGTTGACTTCCAGTTGTTGGGCTGGACACAAAACTAAATAAAAGCAACTGAACAGTCCTGACTATAGATGCCCCCATTTCCTATGCAACAAACACACACAACTACACATCTGTCTGGGTGAGAAGCTGCAATGGCTGCTCATAAATTAGGCTTCCTGTATATTCAGTGAAACTCAGCTGTGCATCTGGATCCAATCAGAGCTTTGTATTCCTTTTGCAAATGATCCCAAATGTTTCTAATTATGCCAGCAGAGTCGGCACGAGGCTGTGGGGGTGTGTGTGTGAATGAGCTCCTGTCGTTACTCACAGGAAGAAGATGCATGTTGCACTGAGCCGTTCAGCGGTGTGCAGAGGTGTCACTGATCACCGTAGAAACAGGCATGAAGGGAGTGGGGTTTTTGGGAGTCTTTCAACATGTTAAATACAGAGTCCCTCATTAGGCACTAACATAACACTGACTGCTGTTTGTGAAGCCATTTTATCTGTTTATCCATGGGAAAAATTTGAGTAAAGCAGAGCGCTGTGGGCTTTAGCGACAGACTCCAACTCGGGTCCTGCTGCTGCTGTAAACCCCTTAAAAAATAAATAAATAATTAATTCAATTAGTTTATTTCTATAGCGCCAATTCATGTCAACTCAATGCACTTTACAGTTTAACCAGATCATCCAGAGAGATTGATTCAAAGTTTTCTATCTAAGGAAAACCAGCTGATTGCATCGACTCATTGACTCAAAGGCAATCCCTCACACTAAGCATGCTTGTAGCGACAGTGGAGAGGAAAAACTCCCCTTTTACAGGAAGAAACCTCCAAGAACCAGCCTCAATGTGAGCGGCCACCTGCTGAGGCCGACTGGGGTTCAAGGAGACAGAAGCAGACGTAGAAAAAGAAGCATAGATACAAAAGACAATATACCAGATGAAGCTACTATGAGAAAAAGCAGAGAGAGCAGAATGTTGGAGATTGAACTAACAGATTCTGTAGGGGGAGAGAATGGATAACGAATGAAGCAGAATGATGAAATAGGGGTTTCTATGTCCTCCAGCAGTCTAAGCCTATAGCAGCATAACTTTAACGTTATAAACACAACCTCTACCCCGGAGCAACGATTTACACAGAGACCTAAGAGCAACACTTGGTTACTTTCAGCCATTAGGGGGTGCCAGACCCGTAACCTCCAGGTTTAGTACCCCCTGTGGTAGCGCTGATGCTAACTGCTGCTGTCGCCCTCAAAGTTTTGAGAATCTGATAGCAGAGAACTTTGGAGCAGCAGACTGAGAAGTCATGGAGGTTTTGGCAAAAAAAAAAAGCTGCGTTCGTCTCTCTAGATGAAATCCTGCATCAGAGAGGCAAAAACTTGTGTGATCAGGTAAGGAGTTAATCACAATGTTCTGCCTTTTCACAAGTATAGAGTGAATTATATTCCATTATAGTCCCGAAAAAATGAAATGTTTTGTAAATGGAAATTTGAGAAGAAAATCTGGTTTTGTAAGTAGAAACAAAAAGAGGAAAATTCCTTTGAAGTGAGAAGAATAGACACTTTTCTATTTGTCTGTAGGGATGTTAGCAACATTTTTATTGGTCAAGAGCTTTAAACTTGTGTACAGATCGCAATCTGTTATTTGTATGTAAGCAGAATGGGGACAAGGCTGTAAGAGGATCTATGTATATGTCTGTGCAATCTGAAAAATGGAAATATGAAAAAAACAAAACCTACACAATCTGTTTTGAAAAAAATTGGAGAAAAGGGCAAAGTTGAATTACATTTTTCAATTCAGTTTATTTCTATAGCGCCAATTCACAACATGTCATCTCAAGGCACTTTACAGTTCACCAGATCAGTCAGATTGATTCAAAGTTTTCTATCTAAGGAAAACCAGTTGATTGCATCGACTCATTGGCTCTTCAGCAATTCCTCACACTAAGCATGCTTGTAGTGACAGTGGAGAGGAAAAACTCCCTTTTAACAGGAAGAAACCTCCAGCAGAACCAGGCTCAGTGTGAGCGGCCATCTGCTGAAGCCGACTGGGGTTCAAGGAGATGGAAGCAGAGATACAAAAAGCAGCTGCAAAAGGCGGCCTGGTAATACAGCAGACGAGCTCCGAGCCAGCTGCCATGTCAGAGGACGAAGAGAGCACATTCAGTTAGTCACAATCAGAGAAACAGGACTATGCTGAAAAACAGGCTGATCTCCAGCATCTATTAACAAAGGTGTTGATGGCAGCAGCACAGCTGATATTTCTCTCCAGGATGGAGTCACAGCCAAACAGGAACAGACCAGATGAAGCTACTATGAGAAAAAGCAGAGAGAGCAGAATGTTAGAGATTGAACTAATAGATTCTGCAGAGTGGGAGAATAGAGAAAGGTTCAGTTCAGAAAAATTATGAAAAAGGGGTCCCTATGTCCTCCAGCAGTCTAAGCCTATAGCAGCGTAACTATAGAGATAGCTCAGGATAACCTGAGCCACTCTAACTAGACATTTTATGAAAAGGGAAAGTTATGTATATATATATATATATATATATATATATATATATATACATATATATATATATGTATATATATATATATACACACACACTGTTCATTATTAGAATGAACGGTGTATAAGGGAGTTCCCGACTTTTATAGTGGTGGTCAAACGTTTGGCCATTACAAGGGCTTCATATTTCCCACTGAGTTGTATGAGTGGGGTTGTTTTCCTTGCACTTTAAGCCCTCTCTCATCCTGCTAATTTCCTAATCACACTAAAGCCTCTTTCCACTGAAAATATTGGGTTAACGCTGATTTTTCAAACATTGTCGACCCACTAACAACCCGCGTTGGACTGCCTTCCCACTGGTAAAAAAAAGCTGGGTCTAACCCCTCACTGGCAGCTGCATTGCCTCCGTGTCCATCCAGCTGCATGTCTGGCGACATCATCATGCTGGGTTAGCTATGGTGTTGTCACAAATCAGGAAAGTAAACAATGGAGAGCAACATGTAAGGAAACCAGAGCGTGGTCGGTGTGCTTTATTGTTTCGCTCCATTATCTGTCTGATTTCCTCTCACCAGAGCTGCTCCATGTTTATCAAATGTAAAAACAGTTGTTTCTGTTTGTTAGAAGCAACTGGTGCGGTGTGTTGATGTCTGTATGTTACATTCAATGGTTTCACATAGTTTAGCTGGTCATCCTGGCTGCCAATCACAGCCGAGGCGATTTTAACACGGGTCGCTTGCCAAGTCATTTGACCCGGGTAGACAGGCGTCAGGGAGCTGTTCCCACTGCCGCTAAAAGCCCATTGTTCCCAGGTTTAAACGGGTTTTTTGGCCAGAGGGAAAAGGGTATAATTGTGCTAATAAGTAAAGCAGACGGCAAAAATAACAGAAATGCAGCTGTTTTTTTAGAAGAACTTTAAAGCCATCAGCCAACCACAGAATCCACTGGATATAATCTTCAGCTCTTTTAAAATTAAACAGATAATGATCTGCTTTTCTTTGTATCAATGGCTTTTTTCCAGAATTTGTTATACAATGATTTGACGAAGGTTTGACCAAACCTTGAAAGCAAAGAGGATAAAAATCAAGAGGTCAAGTAGACTGAAGGAGCAAACATCCAATCTAATAAGATTAAAGACAGAATAAAAG